TATACGGGTGGTAAGCCCCGAGACCTACATAGCTCTTCAGGCCGACGAAAAACTTCAGTGAAGTGGCTTGAGACAGCCTTGCCATGGCACTGGTAGACGCGCTCAACGATGATGAGCGGCTTCTGTCGGAGAAATTAGAGAAGGTCGAGACCAGGTTACCGGAGATGGTAAAGAAGACAAGTCAGCCTTACTTTTTTCCCATCAACCAGAGATGGGTCGAACAGCTGGAAAAATCCGACAACAAGATCCGGTACGGAATTAGGAAGGCCAAGGTCTCCATCAAGCGTGGCTCGTACGCTTTAGCTAATCTGTCAGTCCCTTTTTGAGAGAAGGACATCGACATCGGTCTTGTACAAGAGTCATGGACCAGAGACGGTAAAATCTCTGGCATGTCCGTTAAAAGATACACTACAATATACACCAACTCGACTGGTGGGTCGCGGGCGGGTATAATCATTAAAATAACCTTATCGCTCTTTTACATCCCAGTCTTAGCTACTCGGATCTAGCAGCGTCTTACGGGACAGCCATATTAATCGCCTCCAGATTCATGGCCCACGACGAACCGGCACCCCCTAAAGCGGTCATCAGGGTGATGCCCTCGGCCCACAGGGCGGAGGACACAAACACGAAGCTCTTCCTCGGGTGCAACGCTAACGCCAGGCACACAATGTGGGGAAGTAAGGAAACAAACAAGAGGAGTACGTTTCTTTTCTATAGTATTATGTATCGTGACGTCACTATATGTAACAAACGAGAAACGCTCACCTTTATTTTACCGAGTACGGATGAACTCCAAGGCTAGGAAGAGGTCCTAGACATAACTCTTCAAATGGAGTAAAGCGAGTACAAGGTAGGAAAAAACAGGAGGGTCAAGGCTAGATCAACAAAGGCGTCGAGGACTTCACAAACATTCTCAACGACATATGTACATGGATTCGTGCTGGATACGCAAGAAGCTAGAGGGCGGATCAACGGCTACAAGTCGAAGAGATCGTCACCATGGAAAAAATCCATTGGGCGGTGGACTCATTCGACAAGTACAAAAGTCCGGGACCGGACGGAATCATTCCAGCAATGCTGCAGACGACATAAACATGCATGTGCAAATGGTTGTAAGCAATCTTTCAAGCATACTTAAGTACCACATCGATGGAAGTGAGCTAGAGTTGTCTTTATACCAAAACCAGGAAGAAAACTACAGGCAAATAATCCTGACCTCATTCCTAATGAAAACACTAAAACGCATACTAGATATCCACAAAAGAAGAAAAACAGAGAAAAGCCTTTCCAAAGCTCAGCACGCGTATAGGAAACGAAGATTCACGGAAACGGCACTACATAGAAAAGGCACATTATAAAAATTACACAGTGGCCACCTTCTTAGACAGAGAAGGTGCCTTCAACAACGTTAAGGTAGAATGCATCCTAAGCTCCCTCAACAAAGTAGGAGCTGAAGAAGGCATCACAGCATAGATCGGCGCAATGCAAACGAGCAGAAGGATAACAGCCGCACTTAAAGCGAAGGAGTAAAAATGGTGGCATACGCAGACGACGCAGTCCTACTCACTTCAAACCCATTCCCCGACGTCAACAGCAAATTACTGACAAGGGCGCTTATCAAACACAATTTATGGGCCAAGGCCTGCGGATTGGGTATCAACGCAGCTAAAACAGAACTTATGCTCTGTTGGAGGGGGGCGGCTTTAAGCTGAAATGCACTCGGATAAATAATAACACGTAGGACTTGTCGGGGTGTTACTCGACGTGCGTCGATGTTTATTTGTAGACGGAGTAATTGGTACTAAATATACAAAAGAAACTAATGCTAGGGAGAGCGGATTGGAAGCTCTAGGACTGGAAGACCGGAGGAAGAGGGAGAGAAAAGGAGAGCGTACGGGATCACAGTGGCTCCCGAAATTAAACGCCTTTCTGGCGTGAACATGCTCTTTACAAGGAGAAGATCTCCAGATTCAAAAAGGAACAGATCGAGTTGGAACTATCACAGCAGGCAAAGTATCTAGGTGTGATACGAAGCTGCCAAGGAAACAAAACATCAACAAAAGAGTCAAGAAAGCAGGTATAGCGTTCTACTCTTGCAGGAAGATGTTCAGAAAAAACTGGGGTATTCACCTCAAGATAATAATTTGGCTCTACAGAGCAGTTGTAAGACTTATGCCCACATACGGAGCACAATTATGGTGGCCAGCACTTACTAGGGCCTACAACACCCAGAAACTCATGGGAATAAAAAGATCCGCGTACGCAGGTGCTAAGATCATGCCCCGCAGCAGCGCTGAATGCTATACATATCCCAATAGAGCATTTCATTAGGAATACAGCAGCCCAAAGCGCGGTACGATTAAAGGCAAGACATAGCTGGAAGATCTACCGCACCGGGAACTATAGAATTCTAGACGAGATAGACTATAGGGTAACAGATGACGCAGATTACATGAAAACCAAGCTGCGATTCTGCAAAGCATATACCACTAAATGCCCTACAAGGGAAGATTGGAGCAGAGAGAGTGTACTAGAACCAGAAGAGGTTTCATTCTATACTGACGGCTCAAGAATGAGCTGCGGAGTAGGGGCCGGAATCTTCGCCGAGAACTGGGGAGTAGAAAAGTCCTTCCACCTCCCAGTGTCATCGTCGTAGTTCCAGGGTCAGGTTTTCGCAATACTGAAAGCAGTTGAACTCTCACTAAAGCGAGAGAGACAGCCAAGCGGACATCAAATCTCTCGCAAGCGCATAGACTACATCGACACTAGTGGCCAAATGCCAAGAGGCACTACACAGACTCGCAGAACGCAATAGGGTAGAAATAGCCACACACAACAACATCCCCGGAAATGAAAAAGCTGACGAGCTGGCCAGGAAAGGGTCAGAAGAGAGCTGAAATACAGCAGATATTCTAGTTTCGCTGAACTCAGTTCAATTGGATATTTAAGACCATTTCAAACAAATAGCCAGCAAGGAATCGCAATGAAGAAAGAGCATAGAAGATCGAAAGTTAGCTGGCCAGAATATAAAAAGAGACGAGCAGCAGAACTCATCTCCAAGAGCAAAAACGATATCCTTTTTTTTAATTATTTTATTCTGCCGGAAGCGTTCAATGCAATTTGAACTTTACCTGGCGTTTAAAAGGATTGGTAAATATGGTACAAATTGGTATGGACCTAAACTATATACAGTTATTTACAACATTTTTACATATTTATAAAAAGTTTACAGTTACATATTAATGAACAAAACGGGAAGACAGATCGCTGGGGTGTGGTCTCTTAAGTCTTCTAAGAGATTGCGGGTCGGCCAGCCTGCTAGCCAGTGAATTTGGGTGTGCTATTAGCCTGTTCGTGTAACGTCTGCTGTAATCGTTTAGGAGGTCACCCACCGGAACAAGGCGTTCTGGATGGCATGGTTTGTGACGTACCAGGGAAACCAAGTTGCCCGTCGAGCAGCACCCACCCACCCGTGGGGATACCTGAACCACCCTATGGGGATAGTTGAACCACCTATCAGGATAACACAAAAACTACAATTGTATAAAAAAAGTGTAATTTTTTTCTTTGTGCATGCCTTCTTTCTGTTCGAATATAAACATTGCACCTTTACAGCATGAAATCAAACATTACAATATTGCTATTTATTCTTATTTTTGTTTTTATTCGTTCTTTTTTCGAAGGTTTTCTTGAGTTTCTTCTTTGTGTTTTTCCGCGATCAATTTTTCTGCGGTGAGTCCGTAGCAATGATACTCCTTCCTCGTTTTCTTCCCCGAGTCGTCTGTTTTCGTGGTTTAGCCTTTGGGTACCCTCGTAAGTCCTCTGGCGATTTTCCTGGCAAGAACCCACGCATTCTGATCATCAAAGGAACATCATCCAGGTCAATATTGGGAGACATTGCGGACTCGACTGAGGTATTGTTCCTCGCAGGAGTGTTCAGGAGCACATTTTCATCTTGTACGATTGCCATTTGTTGAGAATTTTGATTGTGAGTGTTTTCTGTGTTCATGTCTCTGTTAGTGTAATCACTCCCAAGAAAGTCAGATGCAGAAAACTTTTGTGGGTTGAACGGAAAAATTCCACTCTTTTCAAAACCTGATTTGATATTTTGTTTGTAGTTTCTCACCATTTTGGCAACCTGCGATGGAAAATTTAGAAAATCAAATTTGGAAAGGTGGTTCATGTATCCCCACAAGTACTGGTTCATGTATCCCCACAAGTCATTAGCCAATTAGAAGTGATTTGAAGAAAACATGAAATATTTAAACTGCGTGAGCTATCCGTGGAAATATCATAATTTGCGTCCTCTTACGATAAAATAACATTTTATGAAGTTTAATGCCACTGGCGAAGCACGATAAAATTTTTCCAAGAAAACGTTAGGTCACAATTGAAGCTGCAAACGGCGAATACAAACTTCGATTAGCGATAAAAACGACGGGTGTGAGGTTAGGATATCGACTAAGTAAGCAACACACATATAGATGGCTCACAAAATCATGACAGAAGGTGAAATATTTGTAGTGGTTCATCTATCCCTATGGTTCACCTAACCCCACTCTCCCCTACATGTACTCATCAATTAACAGACTGAACTTTTCGTTGCCCAGGTCAAGACGCAGATCTTCATTAAAGTGCACAGACACTACATTTTTAATAAAGTTAGTACACTTGGTTCTGTGCAATTTAACCTTCTGTGTTTATACAAATTCACTTAGGTGGCCAACTGGCTCAATAGCACAATGCTGGGCTATAAACATAGCTATCGCAACTTCTTGGCGACAAGTTTCTGAAGATTTTACCTACTGGAAACAAATTTTACTTTGTTTCTACTACCACCAAAACGAGGATGTGCACCAAAACGAAGTTCAGCTCAAATTGGAGGCATGTTTTTTTTTATTTTCTTTTTTATTTTAAAAATACTATATTTAGCTCTTTATATTGACCGATTTTTAAAAGTGCCTTTTTATAAATAAATAAATACATAATTTATATAATTAAGTGTCAATTCGTAGGGAAAATGAAATTAAATCGATTAGCTTAATATTACAATCATATTTGGAACAGTTTTTAAAGAATCCTTCTTTCTCTGCAATTATTAAATCATGAGCATGCTCAGCATAAGAGTTTAAAGTAGAAGATGGACTGAAAATGTAATTAGTCGTATAAATATAGATTAATATATATATAAATATATAAATATTTGAAGATGACGCACCTTAAAAGTAAAAGTAGAATTTCGGCAGCAGTGTTAAAGTCCGTAGCGAATCGGTTTTTCTTCACTTCGCAAATAATTTGTAATAAGCAGGCGTGACCGTTAAATCCAAAACTTTGTGATAAATAAGAATTAATGTGGATTCGACATTCAATTATTATACATTTACCTGTCAAGCACTTTTTTCATGAAATCATACATTTTCCATCGAAAACCGTCCTTTGTAAGAGTTAATTTCTTTCCAACGTTTTGGAAACTTTTTTTTTTGTATTCAGGAAATAATGGATTTTGCCTAAATACGCTTTCATTAAAGGGAAGGTAGAATTCTGCTTTTAAAACGTAACCCACTGTAAGTGATTCATAGTCAAGATCAGCTGGAATGCCAATTCCAGCAATAAACTGAAATTTTACAAAAATAGTTTTATAATGCATACTATTAGTATTATTTTACTGCAGACTAATTTACAAAGCTTAAGAAATAAGTAGGCAAGCGGCCCAAGCTGCTTAAGTACGATAAAAAGCATCTAAAAGATGTGAGAGAAAGCTAGGGGAAAATCGTCTAACACAAGCATTCATAATCGCTAATTGAAAGGGTCATAACAAGAAGAGGAAGGGTCATACCATCAGATAAATAAGATATGTTCAATAAAATTTCGAAAACATTTTTTTTAATTTGAATAAATTTAAGATTTAAAAAATTTTAAGGGGTTATCCGGGTTTTAAAGCACAGAAAAGGCATATTTTCGTGGATTTTTTTAAAAGATCATACGATAATTTTACAAATTTCATTTATTGTAAATTAAAATATAAGGTTTAAACTACATTGTGTAAAAATTTGAACAAAAAATATTAAAAAATTAGCCGTTGAGGCAGGCTTGAACTTAACCCCACAAAAAATTATGTCTTTGCGGTAGGCAGGATATTTCCGTCAATGTTTATAAGAAATCAAAAAACCAAAGTTTTTCTGTTACTGTATGTATCTGGCTTGTCTTTGAACGAAGGATTTTTTTAAATTAAAAATTTAATTTTTGGTAGCGCTTTTCATAAAAAGTTTCATATTTTACGTCATTTTTGGCCATATTTTGGCTTATAAAATGAGTTGTAATTGAAGATAAAACAAAATCCTTCGTTAAACGAAAAGAAAAATATGTCTACAGTTTTGGTTCAATCGACTTGAAATTTTCGGACAACATTCCTGACACTTTTTACTATTATATGAAAAAGTTTGATAGCAACGACCTATACAGATAAAAATTGGCAAAGTTCTACAGACTCGAAGTCTAGTCGGCTTCGATTTGATAGTGTTTATTTGTTTGTCTTTTAACCGTAATCATTATAAGTTTTATTTTAAAAATCGCGTGATAATGTTGTGACGCTTCTTCTTAGGAGACGAACAACATCTATATATACATATACCAACACAGATCAACAAGGAGTCGTTATATGTTATATTCCTCTTTTATGTTCCTTATAGCTTAGCAATCGTTTCTTACCTAGGTTATGTTTGGGATGTAGGGTACTGTTTGTGGGGAAGACAACGAATTTGCCACCCTTTAGTTTATAATAAAAAAGACGCACGATAGGTATTTTAATATAAGCCGTTTTTAATGTGTTTGTTTCATCGGAGCTGCAGACTGTGTGTATACAAAGCTTGGCTTCAGAATATATATATGTTTATGGGATGACAAATGTAGTTTTGTAGTTTACCGCGACAGCTTAGGCGAGATAAGGAAAGAGTAGAAAGAGAAAACAAAAGAGCGGTGCAGGTGCAGTGGTACACCTATGCGCGCGTGACTAGGTGCTGGCGGTCTGCTCCGAACACACTCCCCCCGTTGGAAGAGGTACGGTTCCAACTATCTCGGAATCGATGGGCAGAGCGGCTAGTTTGGCGACGGCTCTCTTGATTAGACCCGTAGCTGTACGGACCATAGCTACTCTGATGATGCCGTCTCCGCCGGGTATGACTTCCTCGATGCAGGTCAGATCAGCAGGGTTGGGCATCCTCGATAACCCTCCAGAGACTATCCAACCAAGTTTGGTGTTCTGAAGAGTTGGCAAAGTCCTGTCCAAATGAATTTTTCCTGTGGAGATTATTTGGAAAAACAAATCAGCGCCAAGCAAAAGGTCAATTCGTTGCAATTGATTAAAATAAGGATCAGCGAGCGAAATGTTCTGCGGAATTCTCCATGATGTTGCATCTATATTGAAATGGGGCTGGTAATCCGTGATACTGTGAGTCACAACAGCTGCGAATGACGCACGATAGCTGGCATCCCGTGATTGCGCAACAATATCGACTACCCTATCCGAACTCATGGAATATTTTCCTATCCCTGCAATCGAGATTTGCGAGTTTTTATGATTCAAATTAAGTTGACTAGCTAAGCGAGAGGTTATGAAGTTTAGCTGAGAGGCAGAATCTAAAATTGCTCGGCAAGGCGTAAATGCTCAACTTCTATTTCTCAAGTAAATAATTGCAGTCGGAATCAACACGTTGTCATTTGGCATAATATTTGAGGCTTTGGGTGGAGGGCTTGATAAGTGATGATCAGGATGAGATGATGCTTGCGAACATGATACTAATGCTGATGCTGAAGTAGATGGCAATGGCTGAGAGCTCGAGGATGGATCGCATGATGGAGATGAGATGGATGGTGCGGATGGGTCATGATTCATGTGTAATAATGAATGGTGCTTCATGCGACAATATCTGCAGTGCGTCGACTTGCATTGCTGCAAACTATGCCCCTTGCGCAAACAGTTCAAGCAAAGGTGCAACTTCTTTGCTTCTCGATACCGAAGATTCGGACTCAAATTAAAAAATCGAGGGCATTTTTGCAAATAATGATCCCTTGCATCGCAACATATCTGATGACTTGAGGTAGTGGCAGAAGCAATAAGTGCACTTGGATTGTATGTGCGCAAGTTTTTTCCCACCTGCTGGCCTGGTGTTTGAGTTACCCAGGCTTGATCCAAGTTTTCCATCATCCTGCACCTCTTCTTCAAAAACGACTCCATAGCTTCCCAGGTAGGCAGCTCCGTGATCGATAAATCCTCTTCCCATTTCTCACGCGTCCTATGATCCAGCTTTCGAGTGACGATGTGTATTAGAAGCCCATCCAAAATCTGTTGCGTAGTGGCCAGGGTTCGAATTGCTCGTAAACGTGAATTCATGCAATCACTGAGCTCCCGAAGACCCTTTGACGATCCCTTCTCGACACCCTTTGAACCAAATATTGCCTGTACGTGTGCCTGAATATGTAAAACTTTATTATCGAATCGATTTATCAGCAAATTCATAGCCTTATGATAGTTTGCATGTGAGGGTTCGAGCGAGCGTATGGTCTCCAAAGCCACGCCGCCTAAACTCGACCGCAAGTATTGTAACTTTTCAATGTCAGTTAGCTCATCATCATTCCCGATGACCGTAGTGAACGTCGCTAGAAAATCCGGCCGAATCCTCCGAATAGGATCCATGAAACCAAGCAATTTCCAGATTTGGCAAACGAGGCTTCCTAGATCTAAAAGAAAGATCCGGGTGGTTAGGCATTTCAATGGATGTTGAATTGGCAGCGGTTGAAGCCGGCAAATGCGACTTGTGATGAGCAGCTAAGCCTCGGCTTAGTTTCGCCTTTACATCCATGAAAACTCCGGAAAATCTAGTCGCTCCAACGATGTCTGCGCAGCATCAAATGCCTCGTTTAAGGAGTTGATCCAATCCATTCGCGCGAGTAAATCAGCTTCATCGAACTGATTGACCGAATCACCATTTAAATAAAATTTCATGGAGCTTATTTGCCTCAAAATAGAGTCGGCTTTGGCTCGGTAGAAGTCCACGTCACTTGGGGATTCATTTGGTGCCCGAACCGAATTTTCCGTATCAGACATATTTTTTATTCGATCACGAGAAAAAAAATAAAATAAATTAAAATGTCTGACCGCGTCAGAGGCACGAAACACCCTATGCTTTCTACCGCGAAAATGTAGAGCAGGGGTGCCCAAACGTTGCTTATGGCAGAGCAACACATAAATGAAAACACAAATACATTTACGCAAACGTTTTTTTCTACTTAAAATTTCTGCACTGAAAAAAATGAAAGTAAATGATATGTTGTGAAATGCCTTTGAAAATTAAACTTCCTTTCATTTACTAATTCGTTAAAGCGAACAATGCATTGGGGCTCACTAAAGCAATTTTCACAAAAAAAGAAATTAGGGTAAGGTGGGGTAAAGCCGACAGTGTGGGTAAACCCGACCTCCCTCTGTTTTCGAAAAACGGAAGCACTACGCAAACTAATATTAGTGTTGTCGTGTAGAGCATCGAAAACAATGAAAATGGTGGTATGACAGCATTTTATTAGTCAACATTGAGATGGTCAAACGACAACAAGTTTGTTTTCACAATTTTGAATTTCATTTTTGTGCATAATTAACTGCAGGATTTTTCTTTTTGTCAAAGTTATCGCATGAAAAGGTAAGTGGATTTAGATTCTTTGAATAAAGTCCTACAAAGTGCATATAAGTTTGGTTCATTTTTTTTCATAATTTCTTTTTTAATTGCGTTTTTATGAAAAATTACGTGGTGGGGCAAATCCGACCTCTAAATAGTGGGGTAAGTCCTGCCGCAAAAAATCCAAAAAAAACAACAATCACACCAAAACCATCAACATCGCAGCCAATCAAACGTTCAACTCGAACCAAAAAACGCCAGCAAGCTATTTGAGCAGCGAATCAAATGATACTGATTAATTATTTTGCTATTTTAATTTTTTTAATTCTTTTATCTTTTATTACCATTATATAACATAACATTGATTGATTTATCATTGCAAAACCTATATTTAGGTTATATCTGTACTAAATCAACCAAAAACATAGGCGGTCGGGTTTACCCCATCATTTTTGAACATAGCAAATATGAACTTTTTCGTAAAACGCTTGTATCTCAAAACTTTTCAAAGGTATGAATAAAATGCTATGCATAGAACGTTGCGCAAAAGTCTAACCTTTAATTTGGTATATATAACGACTTTATCCGATGTAAAATAAACATTTTATAGCCAAAACCATTTACTAGGTCGGCTTTACCCCACCTTACCCTAGTTTCTGCAATATCAAACATCTTGCCTGTAACGCAAAATACAACTGATTTTTCGCGATGTACATTTTTCGACGATCCAACAACAACTTACATTCGGACAAGCGAGATAACGGTGAAGCCTACGAAAGTGTTGTTGCCGAGATCAACGAAGACGCGGAGAATGAAGAGAATGCGCAATATTGTTAGTGTAATCTGCTTTGCTTATGGAGTGAGTCGTGCATGTACATATATGGCGATTGCTTTGCCTATGCCTAAGAGCAATTACAAAAACAATGCGAGCGACAAGAGCTATGGGCTG